ATAGCTGGGTCAAATGGTGGTTCCATTGGTTCCATTCCAAGATTTCCAAGATTGAAACTTTTTTAAACAAGGAGAACTGTCCTCCAGTACCATTATTAAACATTGAATGGCTTTGAGATGAGTTTTAGCTGAAGAAATGGCAAGGTTACTTGATGAATCCAATCTAAAGTTACAAGGCAAAACAGTGCTTACATGGCAATCTTATACTGCGGTAAGGCCATTTTGATGTTGACAGATATTGTTCAAATCACAAGTAATGGCAAAATGTATTATAAATTCCCTGTACTATAGTAAATGAAAACAAAAACTTAGATCTCCATTCCCATATGAATTTGCAGTGGATATATTTACTGAGTACATACTACGGACCTAGCAGTGTTTTCAGACATAAACACTAAGTGAATCCCCATATTTCAAACTCCTTTTCCCTGTTCATTGAAGAGCTTTCAGTTTAACCTTTAATTGGAAGTAATTAATCTGCAAAGCATTAATCTGCTAAAAGGCAATTATCAAGAGAAGAATCTATTAGAATCCTACAAATAAATGCCTTCCAGGTGATGAATATGCTCAATTAAAATCATATGCTTAAAAAAGACATTACTTTGGTTAAAATTTAGGACTTAACATAAATTATTAAGTTTTATTAGTGTTTGTATTAAATTTGATATTAAAATCATTTTCTTTTGAAGCATCTTTTATGTCTTGATCTTTGGTCATTGTTTTGTTAACCTTTCCAGCTTTTCCATAGCCATACTTCCTAGTGACCTTTCCCCCAAAATTCTTTTTCTGGACTTCATTAAATTCAGCACCTTCATAAAATTTGTATTTTTAGTTTATAATTGATGCCCCCTAATTATATCATACTGTTGCTTTAATTCAAGTGCGGCATTAACTCAGGCAAGAATGTAATCTAGTGACAATCAAGGAAGACTGGTTGAGTAGTTACTAGTTAAATTATTTGTCCATTTGTGAATATTTTTATTTTATTTTTTGCTTCTTTCTGCAGCCCGTAGAATTGAAGATTTGAATAATAGATATTTAGTAAAAATGATTCTTTATAGATTGGATTTAAACACTCAATTCTGACCCTGCAGATGCAAAAGAAATCAAGATAATGAACTCGATTTTCTTCCAGAGAACATAGATATTTCTCAGCAGTGTAGAATTTGCCTATGCTAACACACATTTGGAAGCAAGTCAAAGATATGTCTTGGTTTGAAAGTTCAGAATTTTGAAACAAAAGTGAGAAATAACCTCTAAACTACTTTGTTAGAATAAAATGAGTCCCTCTCATCTCAGAAAGAACTGGAGCTATGGCCTCAGACTTCTCTCAATTTTATTTCAATATGTCAACCCACAAATTGGCATATTAGCAAACTGCACAAAATGTTACACCTTCTAATGAAATAATGATTATCAGAAACCTAACATCAGTCATCTGCAGAGCTGAAAGGAAAATTCTTGCAATTTCCTTTCATAAAGATCTATACTAGTACAGGGATTCTTGAAAGTGAAGAATAAAATAAAATTTAAAGTGGGTTCATCCAGAGACCAGAACCCCTTGGATGTCATGATACTTTTTTTTT